CCCCGATGCCCAGCCTCGCCCGCGGCTACCCTTCAGCGTCCCCTGACCCCGGGCTGACCTCTGATCTCCCAGTTCCCCTTCTCCTCCCGCCCCACCCACCAGCTTTCCCTCGGGATTTGGGGAGACCGGGCCAGCCCCGCCGGGACCAGAGGGGCGCGTCCCCACCCGGCCCCACTCACGGACTGAACCCCCGCAGGACCACGTGGACGAAGGCGGAAGTGCAGCGCGCGGCCACGGCGGCCGAGTGAGGACAAAAGTCCTCTGGGGCGGGGCTTGGAGGAGAGGAGGTGGAGTGGGCGTGGTTAAGGCTTGGCTGGGGCGGGGCTTGGCGTAGAGGAGGTGGAGTGGGCGTGGTTAAGCCTTGGCTGGGGCGGGGCTTCCCGGATGCAGACTCCAGGTAGGTGGCAGGCCGCCGTGACTGCGGCTGCGCAGGACCCCTTAGCGCGAACACAGGGTCCTGATGCTAACGTAGGGCTCTGCCCGGGTTACGCGGGTAGACGCGAGCATCTCTAGGGAGACGGGCAGGGACAACACCGATCCGTCACCTAAGCCCGCGTCCTGGAGTCACAAATACCCTACGAAAGACGAATCGGAAGCACGGATGCCCCTTGTCACGTGGGCGCACTTGAAAACGTGATGCTCAGATCCAAAGAGGTCAGATCCAAAGGCCACGTGGCGCGCGATACCGCGTGTGTGAAATGTCCAGAACAGGCCAATCAGAGGCAGAAAGTGGGTTAGGACGTGCTGCCAACTCCTCCAGCTCAGGAGTCAGACCCAGTGGGAAAGAGCTCACCTGTCCCAAACGACACCCCCCCCCCAACACACACACACACACACACACACACACACACACACAGCCCTTCCCTCTGCGGAAGGAAAGAACCGGCTGCCTTTCCTGTCCCCGGGGCGAGGAAAGCCAAGGTCACCTGTGACCCGGTGAGCTCAGATGGCTGAGCAGCCTTAGGAAGCATCCGGCCACCTCACACAGCCCTCCCACCTCCTCCACACAGCACCCACCCTCACAGAGCCCTCCCACCTCCTCCACACGGCACCCACCCTCACACAGCCCTCCCACCTCCTCCACACAGCACCCACCCTTGCACAGCCCTCCCACCTCCTCCACACAGCACCCACCCTCACAGAGCCCCATACACCTGCTCCCTCCACAACCCACCAGCTACAATGGATGATCTTGCATCTCCATTCTATGGAGAGTAAACTGAGACCTGAGGTTGGGACAGACAAGCTGGAGGCCACAGCTTGATACAGGGTGGGGGCCCAATCCCAGCCCTCCTGACTGAGGGGCCCTCGAGGGCCTGGCAGCTGTGAATGTACCAGGAACCCGCAGGGGACGTCGAGATCGTCCCACATGGTCCATGTACCCCCAGGCCCCCGGTCACCGTCGGGCTCCTGCTCAGGGATGTTTACAGCAACTTCATTCATGATTCCTCAAACTCAGAAGCACCAAGATGTCCTTCAGCAGGTGCACGGGTAAGTAACCGTTTAGAAAGAGCACTGTCCAGCCGGCCTGGCTCAGTGGTTGAATGTTGACCTATCAACCAGGAGGTCACGCGGTTGGATTTCCAGACAGGGCACATGCCCCGGGTTGTGGGCTCGATCCCTAGTGGGAGGCGTGCAAGAGGCAGCCAATCAGTGATTCTCTCATCATTGATGTTTCTATCTCTCCCTCTCCCTTCCTCTCTGAAATATATATATTTAAATTTGCAACAACGGCCGAAACCGGTTTGGCTCAGTGGATAGAGCGTCGGCCTGCGGACTGAAGGGTCCCGGGTTCGATTCCGGTCAGGGGCATGTACCTGGGTTGCGGGCACATCCGCAGGAGGAGGTGTGCAGGAGGCAGCTGATCGATGTTTCTAACTCTCTGTCTCTCTCCCTTCCTCTCTGTAAAAAATCAATAAAATATATTTTTAAAAAATAAATAAATAAATTTGCAACAACGAAAGGCCAGGACTGTCTCCATCCCTCTGGGCATTTGGTACTCTCACACTAGGAGCCCACAGAGCAGACAGGCGGGTTCGGGGCTCGGTCCCCACCCCTCGGTCCCACCCGGCTCGGGCTTCCTGTCTGGAGAGGAGCCTCGCACTTGAGGAAGCCGCCCGGAGGAGGCCCCACCTTCACTTCCTGCAGTGCTACCTCTCCATGAACTTTCGCTTCATATTGTGGTGAGCCTTTTTGGTCACTGAAGTTATTTTTAACTTATGTAGTTGAAAAAAATGCAAAGCCTACCACTCCACATTAGAAAGAGGTACCACCTGATTACAATAAGGCCACAGGCCTTGAATAAACATTTCCCCGAGAAAGATGTAGATATGGCCAACGAGCGATAGGAAGACGCTCGAGGTCACTAATCGCCCAGGAGCGTGCGAACCTGCATCACAGCGCACGTGGAATCAAGCATGGAGGCTGGGGGGGAGGGAGGGCAACGGGGGGATAAGGACACATATGTAATACCTTCATCAATAAAGAAAAAAGAGAATGCAGGCGGACCAGCCCCAGGGAGGATGTGGAGAAATCGGTGGGGACGGAAGGGGCGTGCCTGCCGTGCAGTCTGGCGCTGGTCCTTGTACACGACCTGCATTCCCCTCCTAGGTGAACCCCCGAAAACCCAGAGGCAGGAGTCCCAGGTGAGGAGGTTCCACCGGGACATGGCCAGGGGGACACAGCCACGAACCCCAAGCCTGCCCTGGGGGGTTTGCTCCCCCAGCCTTGCCCTGGGGGGTTTGCTCCCCAAGCCTTGCCCTGGAGGTGGCTCCCCCAGCCGAGCCTGGCCTGTGTGCAGGGCCAGTCCAAGGTGCTGCAGGACGCTGGCAGGGCGGGGAGGGGGGGGGCGCGGGAGGGAAGCTGCAACAGGCCTGAAACAGTGACCAAGCAATCATCAGTAACAGCAGCTCAACAATTCCAAAGGTTTATTTCCTTAAACTGATATTACACAATTAAACACAACTGGGGAGGGATCGCACAAATCCCTTCTGAAGTAGACTGAGTCGAGCGCTGTCTCCTGGAGAGCAGGACCGGCCGGGCACAGACCGGGAGGCACACGGGCACGCTTGGTGCCACAAGTGAGGGGCAGGGAAGGAGGCACCTCCCGCGGCGCCAGCCTCCCGGCAGCCCTGGAGTCCGGCCGACCATAAAGCAATAAATAGGAACGTGTCCTGTGCAGCAAGGAAAGAACAGAGTCACAGGGCTTCTTCCAAGTCCAAGAACAGGGCAATTTCAAGTAGTATCGGGAGGAACACCCATAGACCTGCTGGGTCTGTGCTGCAGACCTTAAACCCCTGGCCGGTGCCGGGACTCGCCCAGGCGTCCCCTGAACTCTGCGGGTGCACTCGAGGGGGCGAGGCAGAGCTGGGAGCCTGGGGAAGCCCCCTAAGCCCAGAAGGTGGGCCTCCCTGACCCCTCAGATAGCAGCCGGGACCTGGGGAGTGGGGGGGGGGGAGGGGAGGGATTTGACATCAAAACCGACTGGGAAAGCCAGATGGGGAGGTTTTCGCACAAAACCTCACCTGCCCCCCATCTCTGTGGCAGGAACCCCACTCCCCTACAGGTGGGACAGCAGGACACCCAGCCATGCAGCGTACCTGCTGCCATGCCCCTCCCACCTTCCAGAACAAAACGTCTAAACACCTACGAGTTTCTTCTTTAAACAAAAAAAGAGCTGCAGAAAAATAAGACACATTTGATGAGTAAAGTGTGAAAGACTGCCACGTCCGCTCTGGTTTAGAAAGCTCGGTGCGTCGTACTGTGTGTCCCTAAAAGAACATTTAAATAAGACGCTGTGCCTCCCGAGGGCGGCCGGCACAGCAGGCTATGTATATATGTATATATGTATATGTATGTACACACACCTCGAGGGCGACCCTGGGCGGTCCTGGGGCCGGGCCTGCATAAAGTGCTCGTGACTCAAAGCTGGGTGGGTCCCGGGAGGAGGGGCCGGGCAGGTGGGAGGCTTTGG